GCCATTTACAGCCAGAGTGCGGGGGTCACCTCTCACCCCAGTCATACCCACTAAAAACCCATCTGTAGAGTTACCTCTCCAATCTCGGAACCGCCTTGCGGCATTACTTCAAGACTGGAGATTGTTTCGCCACTTATGTCTGTGTCTGCCAAATTTTTATCTTTTCATCTTCCTGTTTTTTAAGCATGATTGCTCCCATCATCCTGGTGATTGCTTCACAGTTCTCTCTATTTTCCATCATAAGCTCGCCGACATTTTCCCTTGTTATTTTAACCTTGCATATTTGTTCCGCCGATGCTCTAGTCTCCAAATGCCTACTACACTCGAATAATGTGTGATTGGCCGTGTCTGATGCTTCACAATACCAGCATTTTGTGGATTCCGCCTTAGTTATTCTAAACAGGTACTCTCCAAAAGCACCGTGCTCTGTCATCGCCTGGGTGATGTAGTAGTCCGTTTTCGTCCATGTGTTGTTTATCCAAACCCTCACGTCCGGGATAAATATCTTAATTCGACCTTGGTATGCCTCCCATCTGTTCTGCCATTTGTCCAGTATTATCTTTCTGGCCTCTGATCGATACCCTGAGCCGTGCCTGTATATTAAATTTCTTTCCTCGATTTGTAGGATAATTGGGGGGATTTTTGCTAGAGCAAGAATGCTCAAGAAGCTTCTGTGGGAAACTGTACGATACGCCGACACTACGCGTAGGGCTAGCATTCTGTTAATTTTCTCGAGGACTTTTTCATAGCATTTATAGTCTGCTGCCCTGCTCCAAATGGGCGAGGCGTACAGGATCATCGAATGCACAACCGAGGCAAGCATTCTCCTCTTTCCGTCACTGGGGCCTCTAATATTGGGAGTGATTCTGGTCAGCTGTTTGATGGTATCAACCGTCCTGTCCCTGATTTTAAGGACATGTGTAGTCATGCACATCCCCGAATCAAGCCAAACGCCCATATATTTTATTGCCTTTTGAGGTCTGATGTGGCAATTTCCCAATTGGATATTTAAGTTCGTCGTCTTGCGATGTCCTACCAGAACGACTAGTTCTGATTTTTCTGGTGCCAGATGTATGTCCATTCTATCCAACTTATTGATTATAGTTAGGGCAACTGTTTGTATCTTTTCTTCGAAGATAGTGATGGTCGGAGCGGTGATCATGACAGCCAGATCATCCGCATAAGCAATCAATAGATTACCTGGTCCAATATCGACCCTCAGGATCTGGTCATAGAAGATGTTCCACAAAGTCGGTCCTAGAATGGACCCCTGCGGTACCCCGTACGTTATCTTGTGTTTTTTGCCGTTTTCTGCAATTACATATATTTTTGACAAGAAAGACTTAATCATAACGATGAGGTATTTACTGATCTTCATGCTCCCTAATTGTTCAACAATTCCTGTCCATGGGGCAGAATTGAATGCGTTTTTAATGTCTAATGTAAGCAGTGCCGCGTATCTCCTGTTCTTATACGATTTCGTTTTAATACGGTCTACGTTACTCGTAACAATGTTTAACGCGTCTATCGTAGATTTGCCTCTGCGGAACCCGTATTGGTTTGGGTGTAGTCTGTTTCCATCCTCCAGTTCTTTCTCCAGTCTATCCCTCAGAAGACATTCTAACAGTTTGGCGCTTGCATTAATTAAACATATTGGACGATATTTTTTGTCTTGTCTTCCATCTTTATTGGGTTTCTCTGCTAGAACAAGTTTGGCAATTTTACACGAATTTGGAAACTGTCTGTTGATACGACACTTGTTCAGGATCTCAGTGATTCTCTGAGGGTCTTGCTTAGTAGCAATTTTGATAACTTCCACCGGTATGTAGTCCGGGCCAGGAGCTTTTTTGTTTTTCAGTTTACTTGCTGCAGAACGCACTTCTTCTTCAGTAAACCATATAACATCATCCGGTATTTTTTTGGTATATCCCAACTATTTGATTGAGCTTTAGGGAACAATGTTGTGATCTGTTTTTCTTTTATGTTATCTGTAACGGGAGCGTTGCGTCGGCCGATAAACTTTCTCATTACCAGTTGGTAAGCCTTGCCCCAAACATCGGACTCAAGCTCGTCAGAGAGCTCTAGCCAATTCCTTTTCTTGCTCCTAAGGATTTCTTTTTTAAGACTGTGCTTGGCTATGCTGTAGTTGGTACGCGCCTGTTTCACGGTCTCGGGGTCCATCTCGTTCTCTTGCTCTTGTTAATACCCGTCTCTCTTTAATACAAATCTTCCTTTTTTCAGCAATCTCATTATTCCACCAGTACATTTGTTTTTTATCCGTTATTCTTTTCCTGGGGAGAAAGGAGTTACACAACTTTCTGAGACATTTGTCTAGCCCTTCTGGGGATGGCGTTTTCATTTTCAGTCCGTTCTCCTCACAAATATTATCTTTTGTAAGCCATTTATTGTTGTCCTCCATCCGTTTATCTTTGCGACCACGTTGTCCTTCATCTGAGTATCAATCTGTATGTCAAATCTGATGTAACGATGTAGGCTTAGACTTTCCTCCTCAGTTATCACACGCCAGTTTCTCACGAATCTACTGATTCCCGGAGTTGCGAGGGTAATATCTATTATTGATTCGCCATTTACGTTTTTAAAAGTGGGCGTATTACCCTGGTTCACAACTACAAGATCATTGCACACGATCCACTCTTCGATAATCCTGCCTTTTGCATTTTGGATCCCAGAGCCGCAAATCCTTCTTTTTGCATTAAAGTCTCCCCCAATTATGGCTTCCTTCTTCAGCGTATCACAGCATTTATCTCATACAATAAATCATTCAAGAGATCGCTGGGTTTACTTGGTGAAAAATAACACGAAAACACTAACATATTTGTATATTCAACACACACAAAGCCTGTACCTGACACGTAATCTACAATATTAAACTTATCTCCTAGGTTTGTTCGTATAAAACTATCACAGTCAATGTCACAGATGTTATTTTTTTTGGCATATATATTGGGTTCTTGACCCAGTATCAAGTTGATTTTGTTAGTCCTCATATACTGCAGAAGGAGGTCATATGCCGCCCCCCTCCTATCCATATTTAACTGGAGGACTGAGAAGGTGCTGATTTTTCTCAAATGTTTGGACTCAGTTCTGGCTAACCTGAGACTGGAGGGTTCCGCTTGTTTTCTCTGCCCTTCTAGCAGTCTTTAGCGCTTTTTTGAACGCCCCGCACCTCCCAGTGTTGGCGCTGTGACCCTGCTCATCACATATCAGGCAATATACCTCTTCTGTACATGCCTTGGCTTGATGGCCCTCCTTGCCGCAGTTAAGACAGAGTTTTGATCTGTCCGGTCCAGAACATTCATTTCCTGCATGGTCATAAGTCCAGCACCTTGAGCATTTTCTGATATCTAACATCTTCTCCACAGAACATGATACCATTCCAATTCTTATTCTTTTTCGAGCGACGATTAACTCCGCTGTGTCAGCCTCTAGGGAGATTGAGGCAGACTGAGTGGACATGGCATTTGGTCTTAATTTTCCGACTTTGACCTTTTTTTCATCAAGGTCGGGTATCTGTTTCTTCAATTTCTTTTTAATTTATCTGACTTCAGCTCCGTAATTGCTGTAAAAATACCATCAGTTTTTTGCTCTAGTTGATTGATTTTATTAGATATAGAAATGTTTTCCGTTACTTGCTGCACGCAGCCATCACAGAACCACATCAAGTTTTTATATTCCAGTACTGCTTTTGATATATTATCTTAATTCTGACACACATATTATGAAATTTTCCTTTACAAATTACAGCAGAACATTACTGCAGAAAAGACACTGCAGTAATTTGTTGTTAAATAGTTCTCCGTTTCGTTAGACATTCCGGCAACGGTGTACGCTCAGCAGGAATCAAAACAGCAAAAACACTGCGATAGGTCGACACCAAAAAAGCCGTACCTATCTTTGCCAATACACTTTACGGACCGATATGATACTTTAAACACCGGTTTTTTTCTGTTTGTAATGTACACAATCAATCAAATAACATTTAGTTATACTTAGTTCATTTTTAATTTATCGAAGACTAAGCAAAATTCAACAATTCGTAGACCGACATAAACACACTATTTATCTTGCGACGGCGCGGCGTTGTCACACTTGGTACGTTGCCACACTTGGTACTTTTTTTTGTTTTGGAAACCTTAACAATAACAAAACTATTTAATTATTATTTAAAATAATTTCAAGTCCGACTGGTTTGTTAAATTATTTAATCTGATTATATTCATCGCAATAATATTGATCAGCGCTAATTGACATTGAATAAGAAAAATCAAGCCAATTAAAAGATCGATGATCGAATGATAACTGGCGTTGTCCATAACAATGACAGCGTTTCCAGGAAGTAAGTTCCCACCGCTATTGTCTTGCCAGATTTTCTTAACAGAAGATAGATTTTCCTTCCCTGCGATTTTTAAGAATGTCCCTTAGATATTGCTTTCTCCAAAGAATTGTCTTCTCTGTCAATAAGTACAGACCGGTTGTATTTTTTCATCAAGTTCAATTCCTCCAAAATTGTCCAAAGTTTCTTTCTTCCCATGACCGGCAAGTTTTCGCCACTGCGAGTTGCGATTGCAGCGCCCAACACTGCGATTTTCTATCGCACCGGCAGCGGCATCGACACGCGTCCATCTCAATTCGCAGTCTAGACTAGATCGTTAAATCACATTCGCAGTTACAATTCGCAACTGCGAGTTGCGATCGCAGCTCCCAATACTGCGATTTTCGATCGCACAGGCATCGACAAAACCGCATTTGCAGTTACAATTCAAAAAATTCAATTAAAAAAAAATGGGTTGGGTCGACCGCGATGAATCTGCTATATCCCCTTCCACGTCTCTTAACAATGTGCACAGTTTCTCGGTCATTTCATACGTTTGGTAACGTTTTTACTGTTCCCTCTTTGTTCAATACATTATAAACGAATTGTACTTTTCTTACATACTCGACCCAAAACTAACATTTGCCAGCCCTTAGTATATACTTACATGCACTCATGAGTTGCCAACAGAAAGCCACCAACAAACCAATCCATTTAATGTTGTCTTTATCATCCCTGGCGTGCCGCACTGATCTGTGGTACGATGTCAAAGACCAAGCAATAGAAATGACCGAAGTGGACACTGACCAAGCTTGGATTACAGCTATATCTGAAAACCAATAATTTTGAATAAAAAAAACGACAGATCTATCTCTAGAGTCTAAAGATGTAGCCAGACGCCTTATTAATATGGTACCGGTGAACGCCTCATCGGCGTTAAGCAGTGTCGCGTGACATAATTTCGCAATACGGTGCATTAATCAGGCGACAGGCGACAACCCACATACTCTAGACAAAGAAAGAGCGTCTCTCTTTCCTTGTCTAAGTACGAAATACTCGCAGGCTGAAACGCGCAACCGCAGGCACGAAAACCTCGGAAGCATTCGGATCCTACTCCCGAGAGTTCGGTTTTGTTAGGCGAGAAGCGTTTTGCGGGAATTTTGAACATTATGAATAATCGAAACTGTTTTGGTTCTTTTAATTTTGTTTTTTACAGTTTTTAGACTACTTTTAGAAATATGGCTATATTTAAAAATTGACCTGCATTCTGCATTATATTTAAAAAAAATACAAATATCATTAAAGTTGCGAAATGTAATTTGTCATTATTTGCTCATTTTAAAGAAAAAAGGTGGCTAATGGTGGTAATTTGGCTGGTATTTGGTAATTATACCTATATTGCCTACATCAAGTTATTTTAGTCAAAGTTGCATTGATTATTGGTGTAAATTAAAATTTATTGTTTCACTTCCAGATTGCATGCCAAATCACATACTGCAGTTATTATCATCATGTAGGAATCGTGGAATCGGTAGGATACATATGTAGGAACATATGAATGAAGATCGGTTAGAAAATTTTGGATACAGTACAGGGCAGTGAAAAAATATGTTCCGAATCAAGTTGAAATCTTTTATTAAAATATCAGTTCTTAAATTGAATCACATTTTTATGGAGAAATGAACGTTTTGGGAAAATTTTTTAGCTTAATTATTATTACGGTAATATATTGGAAATAATAAAACAAATATAGTTCTAATTTTATTAGAATGTTGCAGTTTCGATTATATTATTATAAGAAGAAACTGCAAAAAACTTATGGGTGTTCTATGTCAAGAAAATACATTAATTACAACAATACAATACAATAATTAAACAATAAACAATACCACATTGTACAGGTAGTAAGTAGTACAAAATAAATATAAAAACCCTTAAACAATAGTCAATACATAATTACTTAAATAAGACCAAAAACGAAATAAATAAATAAATAAATAAATAAATCCTTTGTTGGAAAGCTTATCCATTTTCCTTCTTTTATGGTTCGTTATATGGTATTTTTATTGAACTACTGGACTTCTCTGTTCATTTAGAACAATTGCTGATGTGTCTTCTAAGAATAAAAAGAGACTATTTGGCACTGTGTTTTTTTCATTTCCATTTACCTACCTGATGATTTACTATGATTACAATGATAATTGTAAGTTTTTTTCATATAATCATTATATTTCCTTGACCTGGAGGCATTTTCGTTACGAGCGTATGCTATCGCAAGACACGTTGAGCCGAAATTACCTAAAATAATGCGAACATTGATTTTATATCGAGCGTGCTTTATCGCATTTGTCATGCATTCCTAGACGCTCGATATAATATGCGTTGTGGTAAAGTTTTCTACTTTGTTTTCACATTGTTTGTGTACGCTGATGTAATAAGATAAGAAAATACTAAAGAAATAATTAATCATATAATTACCTATGACTAAACAATGAATTAACACCCTCCAAATAACCACGCTAACCAACCCGCCCAACGCTCGATATGACGAAAAGTTCGGCTCAACTTGTCTTGCGATAGCGTACGCTCGTTACGAAAAGGCGACCTGGAGGATGCATAATTAATCCTGATTTTCTGTTTTTTTTTGTTAGTATAACTTTCCTTTTTAGCAAAGTCACAAGCAAAGTTACGCGTTTCCATTTCCGATTTTAATTCATGGTGTTTACCTTCAAATGTTATTGCAATATACTGCAACTTCCACAAATTATACAGACTACCATATTTAGAGTACACAGTGGGCAAATAATACGTTTCTTCTTATAGTGTTTTTCACAAAATTAAGTGAAACAACACAAATTAAAAATAATCCAGTCTGTAATATTAATTAACAGAAACCCTGTATATTTTATTTTAAAAAATTCTATTATATTTAAAAACAAATAAAATAGTTATTTTAATTTTAATTTTAATTTTAACACTCTGTAATTGTAAATTCATATATAGTAAGTATCTAAGACAATTTTTAAAACTTTTATTAAAACTAGTAATAATTTAGTTTTTATTAGAAATTATGAGAAATTAAAAAAGGCTTTTGCATATAGCCATGCTTTATTTAACTAGAACATCATTTGGATGTTTTTGTCTTGAGAAAAATTGCCAAACTGACTATTGGTGTCATTCATTGATTTTTTAAACTCTCGATGAAGTCGATGGTCTTTCTCGATGAAGTTTCAGTTAAGGTTTCAACGATTACAGCAGCATCCCTACTCCCACTAGCCCTAAAGCTCATAGTACTTGCAAAACCAAATTCTTCTTTTCAATGCTCTTCAATTAACCCTTTAATGAGTCTTTGTTTCGTTATTATACTAGCCAATTGAAATAAAACTTTTGGGCGTCCACCTGTTAAGCTTGAACTCTAAAAAAACAAGGGAAAATGATCGTAGATGGGTCTTAACACCTTTCTTTTCTTCATTACTAAGAGAGTTGGGATCTAAAAATTGCATTACGATATCCCACAAAACGGTCAAGAGATGATGTTGGTTTTAAAACGCATTTTTTTCATACCTTTGGCAATCTCCAACATAATTTAGTTTTGGAATAGAATGTATGCACTTGTAAATATTTTGTTTTCGTATGACCTCTACCTGGCTGAGCAGAAAACGACCAAATTTGGTTGATAAAAATGTATGCGACCAAAAAATAATTCATGTATTTTTATATCAGTTGGAATGAATACTATTTATTCTTATCAGTACACATTTTTTGGCTTGTTTTTACAGACAAAACGGTTTTGTCCCGCTAGACTTATCATCCACCGTACTGTGCGACGATGGGACGACCGACCGGCAGGCAGATACAAAAAATGCATTATATAACTTTTTAACATAAATTATCGGTTTAAATTGGATTTAAATTAATACAATCGAATAATTTATTCCCCAACTTTATTGTCAGTGCAGTTTATTAAGATAACAGAGTGGAAAGCAAAATCATCTGGTTAAATTAAATTAAATAAGATAATAATACTTTTTTAAACCAGGATTATTTATGTTCCAAAGTTAAATAATGATTTTTTTACCTTAATTATGAAAATAATTAAGTATATCGTATTTTCAGAAAGCCCATAACAAGGCAAATAAAATAAAAAAAATAATACACTGGGTGTCATTTACAAATAGAAGTCAGATTTCGAAAATGAGAGTTACAAGCGAAACTAGTTAACGTCACTGGATTTTATATAAAAAACTCAACGAGACTAAGTTTTCACCTTTTCGATAAGTTAACCAATACACGATGGGATCGAAAAATGCAACATTTTAAAATTCGCCCTGTATTTTAAGAACAAAAAAGACTAGGACAACTCTTGTAGCGTCTTTGGTTTCATAAAAAGTAGCATAGTGATGTGAAAACCGCATCTTTAGAAGTATAAATGCAATAATATATATATAATGTCATTATTATAAAAAATGCAGTAATTATTACTCATACATAGTATATAAGTCACCTCTGCAAAATTTATCTAGTGTTCCTTACCCTTTATATAACATTTAGAATAAATAATTGTTTTAAACAATAACATGGTAGAGTATATTGGTATACCCCGAGGTAATACCCTGTATTTTCAGTAATTTTTCCACCTAATTAATATCATATTTATAGATTTCTTTAAGCGAATATCAAATTATGCATTTTCGCATTAAATGAAGATATTTAAATAAATTATGTAACAATTAAATTTAACTAAATTCAAAAAATTACTGGCGAAAATTTTTCGCGGCGCGTTTGCTTTGGGTGTGTAGTTTACCGCCAGTCGACGGAAACGACACGCCGCACAGTGGTCTGAGAGCGGCAGAAACCCCATTTTCCGAAGTTTCAGAAAAAAAGTGTATGTTACATTTTTTAAGTTTATATATTTATACTAATACGTTTCAAATATTTTTGCCTTCAAAAAACGAATCCACTATCTACCATATGCTTTTAAAGCCGAACACGCAATACTATCCACTTTACTTAGAAATAAACGCTCGTAATATGAATCACTTAGTATTATTCAAGTGAGGGGGGTAATCGAATTTAAATATTTTTCCTGAGTTAGTTCAAGTATAATGTGCTCAGAAGTTTTGTCAAGGCTATCCTTTTCTATTTCTTCTACTAAAATTTTTTAATAGTATGGTTATTCATATTGTAATGGAGGTTTTTCAAGTTCAGAAAGGTATAATTAGCTTGCTCCACCATGCTCCGTGACGTATCAAGCATAAAAATATTATTTAGACTTTACTTAAATACCATCATTTAGATTTTGCTGCCGCTCTTGTTTATGTATCGAAAATAAGTGATAAGGTTGACTTTGACATACCAGTGATAGCGATTATTTTGAATACAATTTTGGACCCCACTTTAGTTTCTTGTTGTTTGTAGCAAAATGGAGTTCTTTTTCGAGTGTTCAAACCGCGAGTTAGTAGAAATGTGATTTTAGAAAGTGGCCGGGATTTAACACAAATTGTGGGAAGAATAAAATTTCTTAACGAGCAACTTACTCTCGACCAGCTCGATGTTATAAAGATATATTTAGGTCAAATATTTTTACCACATTTTAATAAACGGTGGCAAGAATCTAATCGCACAAAAAAAAACGTTTTATACCAGATATAGTAAGTGGGCTGGAAGGTAGATGCACGATCACAATCTCAGACGAAGAAACATCATGCTCTTCTGCGCAAGTCGGTCGACCTGAAAAACGCTTTGAAGATTGCTCAGAACGGACCAAACGTGCAAAAATCAAGGAAATCTTAGACAATGTTTCAAATGAATTAATAATAGCTGCATACA